CCGTCTTCGACCAGAGCTTGAGCGGTCGCTCAGTATATGCATGCGTGCCCGTAGGTGTGCTCATCATCCACGCTCTGCAGCCGCTTTGGCCGAAGCCATTGAGGCCAGCCCCCGTCTTGGTCCCAGGTCCAGAGCCTCCAAGAGATGGGCGCGCGCCCCCCCCGAGGCCTGCCGGCGCTGCTTTGCGTGACGGCCCTTGCCGTCCTCGAAAAGGAAGAAGCTGCACTGCAACATAATTCAAGGGAGGGAAAACTTACCCGACCGGCATAATTAGGCGTTTATTAAACGTCCCTGGGCGTTTTCTAAACAGCCCTGCCCTGTTCGATTCCTTCCTTCGGTGCGTTTACTGCACTGCTTTGCTTGTCGGGGTGCTTATTCTGAGGATGGGTTTTTCTGTTTTCTGATAACCGTTCTCCCAAGATGGGGTCAAGGAGCGCACCTGGCTGCATGCTCACAGCTAATCTTTTCCAGGGGGCATTTGGGAGCGATTTTGATCTGACCCCACCTCTGCCCCTACCCCACCTTTTCAGGTCTCCCCGATAGAGCTGATTCGCAATCCCCCCTTGTGTGTCCGAGTCGATGGGCCCCCATGGCAGCGCCTCCGGCGCCGCCCCGCGCGGCGCTCCGGGCGCAGGAAAGATGGGTGGGCCACGCGCCAGTCCGAGATTCCAGCTGTGGCGAGGCGTCTTGTCAGGGGCAACGACAGGGGGGGACAGGCATGAGCATGTTTTTTCCCGGGGCGCTAACGGTCGTCACCAGGGGGGGGGAGGGGGGCTGGTGACGTCACGTTTCGCGCCGGCGGCATTTGGGAATGCTTAGGAATGACAGGACGGGTAGGACCATGCACCACAGGGCTGGTGACGGCCGTTATCCCAGAAAATAAAAGCAGGCTCCATAGGGGATGCATCAACCCCCAATCGCCCAATCATCGCTGATAGGGGTCTGAAAGTCCACCCCGCGGGGCAGGAACGTGGGGACTTCTCTATTCGGGGCCTATCGCCGATCTATCGGCGCTGTGTCGCTGGTTCCAGGTCGATGGTATCCCACCTATATGCCCAATCGTTGCCCGTCCCTATCCGAGAATCAAGCTGTGGCGAGGCGTCTTGGCTTGCCTGTATAGGTCCACCAAATAAAGCTCTAAGAGTCCTTTGCAGTCTGCAAGATATGATTTTTGCACATGTCTCGTTGAGGCCGTCTTGTTCTGATATATCGGCTTCATGCTCAAAGAGCATTGCTTCCGTTCTCAGAACACTCTTTCTGTTCTGAGCACATGTCGCGATCGGCCTATCAGCATGCTGGGACGGTCGGCCTCTGCTCAAGAGAGGACCGCACCGACCTTCGATGGGTCACAGTCGACGCGCATGGTAAGGTTGAGTGACATTATCACGGGTACTCTTGCATCCTTGCTTGTTCGACCCATCCTTATGCAATCCCTAGCCCAAAGAGCTTCAACCTTGGCTTCCGAGGGGCTGGCTCGTCATATGCGTTGACTGTGCACGTCGGGGGGCGGGGTGAGGGGGGTGATAGCAAATCCGTTCAAAATCATTCCTCAAACCCCATCCCGGGGTCCACCTGATGCAGTTTTCCACAGATCCGTTTGTCGCGGCCCCCGGCCCGAAAACGGCTCCCTGAGGCAGAAAAAGGCAGACGAGCTCTCCGAGCCTCCAACCCAGACTCCCGACGTCATGATCTTTTCGTGACGCGACTCCCAGAGGTCTGGACCCATTCCCCGGGACCGGTTTTTCGTCCCGCGTCGTTTTTTGATGGTCCCGAGGCCCGGTAAGGGCCGCCCCCGCGCATCGAGGCTGAAGCTTGCGAGAAGCCTCTCGCGGGGTGACTTTTTCACCACTCCAGGGGCCTGGAGAGGCCTGCCACCTCGAGGACCGAGGAGGATCGAGGAGGAGGAGGAGGACCGAGGAGGAAGAGGAGGAGGAGGAGGATTGTTTTCCACAGCGCGAGGGGGCCTGACAAGCTCGAGCCCGTGCGGCCTCTCTTCCTCTTCGGCGTCCTCGCTCGCGCCGGCCGCTCCGCCGCCGGGCGCGCCTGCTTCGCCCCCGGGCCCCGGGGCGGCGCGGCCGCCCCCGCCGCGCGGGCGGGGGTTGTGCGGCGCGCGGCGGAGCCGCGCGAGGCGGAGGTGAGCGAGGCGCAGCGGAGGGCGCTCCGCCTGCCCACCGCGGAGCTCATCTAGGCTTGAGTCGGGCGTGTGCCTCTACAGGAGGGGTGTGCAAAAATGGGCAAACATTAGCCTGGGGACGATTCTTCCATCAGTTTTGATGTTTTTTTTGTATTTTTATTTTCTTCCAAACTCCGCCTGTAGGAGGACATGCCCGACCTGAATCTAACCTCTTAGGTGAGGTCAGAGTAGATGGGGTCGGAGGATCGCGCCGCATCGTGGATGCATCGCCGATGCGGCTCGATGCGTAGCCTGATTTCCTACACGTCGACGTCGCCGATGCATCGCCCACGTCGATGATGATGATGCATCGCCGATGATGCATCGCCGATGATGCATCGCCGATGATGCATCGCCGATGTATCGGCGAAGCGGCGCGATCCCCCGACCCCATCTGCTCCGACCCCATCTGGGAGGCCTCTAGTTCAGGGGCAACAGTTCGGGACGATCGAAAGGGGTACGGAGAGACTGAGCACAAAGGCCGACCAGAGTTTTCGTTCGTTCTGGGCAGGACTCGCTGTAGGTGCCTCCGCGGACAGTGATCACCTGAGACAGAAGGCCACCAGTCCAACAGCGGCCGCTGTCGGTGTTGGACCACGTTTGCTGTTGGGCAGCGTGCCCATTTGTTTCGTGCCCTTCTCGGGCGCCCAACACGGTAGGGGGGATAAAAAGCGGCGGCGAAACCGAAAGGGGGGATATCAAGCAGTGGCGAAGCGTTTTGACCTGCCTACAGGCCCGCTGGAGAATTGCTCTCAGAGCCTCTTGTGGGTTGCACGGAGTGTTCTCAGAGCAAGCTTCTGGCGGAGACAGTCTCATGCCAGCACGGCGGTTCGTGCTCTAAGAACATTGTTTTGTTTTTTTCGAACATCCGCTTGTTCCAAGATCATGCCGCGGTAGGCATACAGGAATGCCGGCTCGATCGGTCCTTGCTCAAGGATATCAAGCAGTGGCGGAGCGTCCCGGCTCGTCTATAGCCCCACCAAACAATATTCTAAGAACCTTTTGTGGTATGCACGACATGTTCGTAGAACATTTCTGGCTGGTATTGTCTTGTTTTAACATATCGGGATTATGTTCTAAGAACATTGCTTTCTTTTCAGAGCATTTCGTGGTAGGACTATCGGAATGCCAGGACGGTCGGTCCTTGCTCAAGGATAGGCTCAGGGCGGAACACCTCGTCCCCCAATCGCCCATTCATCGCCTATTGGGGCCCGATATCCCGCCCCTTCCCACGAACGCGTGCGGATGCGCAATCGGGGGCCTTCCGCCGATCTATCGGGGATGTATCGTCGATTCCAGGTCGATGTTTCTACCCCTGAGCTGGGTCCCCCTCCCCGAACGTTGCCCCTCAGGAGCAACGGGCCGAGCGCGCGGGCAAGTGGGAGGCCCGTCAGAGGACACCACGGATATATCCCAGACGTGCTCGCGTCATGAAACATCAGGACGGGAGGGTTTTGGTCGTCTGGGGCCTGTGGGGGCCATCACCAGGCCCCGGGACCGTCAGAAAGCACTTCAGGATGAAACGCCGGCCCCGAAGAAAGGGTCGAGACTTTGGTGCCGAAGAGACCAGGACGTCGCATGTCGCTCGAGACGTCCCCGCCTTCTTGGCGCGAACGGGCCACAGGGCTAAGTCGGGCATGTCTCTCTAAAGGAGGAAGGTTCAAGAATAGTGAAAAATAGTCAGGGGACGATTTGTCTAGTCAGGAGACGATTTTCCTATCATTTCCCAACCATCTGTGGTGTTGGGTCATCGTTTTGAAGAGACGGTCCCCGCGTTCCTCTCCTCTCTCCTCTCCTGCTCCTCCCCATCCTCTTCCTCCCTCCTCCCGTCACCCCCCTCACTTTGGCACACCCCTCACACGTTTCGTGGCCCCATGGGGAGCTCCACCGAAGCCCCCAGTGCCACCGTCCACATGCGTCCCCCGTCCCCCGCACTCATGTCGATACGCCCCTCACACGTTTCGTGGCCCCATAGGGAGCTCCACCGAAGGCCCCAGCGCCACCGTCCACATCCACATGCGCCCCCCGCACTCATGTCGATACGCCCCTCACACGTTTCGTGTCTCCATCGGGAGCTCCACCGAAGGCCCCAGTGCGACTGCCACATGCGTCTCCCGCACCCACTTCGGCACGCCCCTCACACGTTTCGTGGTCCCATGCGGAGCTCCGCCGAAGGGCCCAGTGCCACCCTCCACATGCGTCCCCCGCACTCATGTCGATACGCCCCTCACACGTTTCGTGGCCCCATATGGAGCTCCATCGAAGGCCCCAGTGCCACCGTCCACATGCGTCCCCCCACCCATTTCGGGACCCCTCCTCACACGTCTCGTAGCCTCATAGGGAGCTCCACCGCAGGCCCCAGTGCGACCGTCCACATGCGTCCGCCGCACCCATTCCGGCACACCCCTCAGACGCTTCGTGGCACCATAGGGAGCGCCACCGAAGAACATATTCACAAATGCGGCACGCACAACTGCACACCGTTGGGTCTTTCGCCAGCCTAGTTTGAATCATGATTGAGCATGTTTTGACTATGTTTCAATTTTCTTCCAAAATCCGCATCTAGGAGGACATGCCCGACCTAATGCTATATCAGGTGATCATGCAACAACCGATCCGATTTAGTACCAGTGCTGGTGGGCCCGATCCGATTCGGTACCAGTATCCCGACGGGCCCGATGCGATCCGCTGCTTGCACGGTGCTGATCTGTGCGTCCTTGCGCAGCCCGTTCGATTCGATTCGACGCCGCACCGATGCAGTCTGGTCCGACACACATTTCGTATCGATCCGATTTCCATGAGAGATGCTGACCGATACTGCCAGAGGATGGAAGACATGTACGAGGACACTGGCTCCTACGACAAGCTGGACCCCTGGTCGCAGGATTCGGTAGCCTCAAAGGGGTGCAGTGACCACACCGCTGGGTGAGTCGGTGTGGCTTAGGGGTGAGCTCACGGTTTGGGACCCTAGCTGCTTGCCGAGGTTGCTTCGGGTGATGGGGCCTCTTCGAGGTCGCAGAAGCCGTTCGTCAAGGTCTGTGGGTGCCTCGAGCTTGGTGGCCCCTGGAAACGGCAGGGTAGCTAATTGTTGCCATTGTCGAGCAAATGCTTCTTGACTTCGAAATTTGCAAAACAACTGTCTGCCGAGCTGGTACAGCAACGGGCCTCCAAAGCTGCTTGGACAGCCCGGGGATCCGTAGGACTATTGGGACCGGTTCGAAAACAGTTCGAATTTGGTAAAACAAGTGGTTTGGACCAGGCCCCCGTCAGGGGAAACGAACATGGCAAAGCAACGGCGCCAGGAACCTACAAGATGGTGCCGTCAGCTGTAGTCAGCTGTAAACAAGTGAGTGACGCAGAAACACGGGGTCGTCTTCGCCGACATTGGCGCGGAGGCTGCCCGCGTAAGTTCGCGCGTGAGCGCCCTCGTTTTTGATGTGTCGTGCCACGATGGCGGCCCGCGTATGTAAGTTCGCTATGTTTTCTCGCGTACGACCCCTTTCTTTTCGTCGTTCAAGTGGTCGTTGTCTTGTTCATTGTTTTGTCGATCGGCGCGGGCCCTCGCCCTCTCCCCCTCCCCCCCATGGAGTAGACCTTGGCTGGTTTCGGCGCTTGTTTCGAGCAGGTGGAGTCTCCCCCATAGCACGCGCTGTTATACGCAGTCGCACCCGGGCAGAGGTCCGGAGCCAGACCCCCCCCTCTCCCCCCCCCCTTCCGCCCAGTGTCGACACGCCGAATCAAAAAACCCTTCACCAGTTGCGCAGCGAGAGCGGCAAAACGAGATTGCCCTGTCGTGTCCAGGCTTTCCAGGGCCCGCTGGGCACACCGGGGGCCTCGAGGCTTCCGCGCCGCCGGGGCGCCGCGCCGTCCCAGGCCTGCACGGCCCGGGGCCTGCACGGCCCGGGGCCTGCACGGCCCGGGGCCTGCTCCGGGGGCCCCCCCCGGCCCCTCGAGTTGTGGCCAAAATCATGGCGGGAGGTTTTTCGATGTTTTTCGGCATCGGGGGGCACTTACTGGGCCTTGGGACCTTCCAAAAGCGACTCAGGAGGAAAAACTGGCCCCAGGGAAGTGGTCGAGACCTTTTGGCGGCGAAGTTTAAAGCATCATGACGTCGGGGGTCTGGGCCAGGGGGTCTTTTCACTTATTCGACCCGACCACATGTATAAGTGACCCTTCTTCTTCCTCCCTCTTGCACGCCGGACAATTAGCGTTTCGGTTGCCCCGAAAAGCCACACGCTGGAGCGGACTGCCTCTGCCTCGCCGCCGGCGAAGAGAAACAAGTGACTCTTTGCCGGAGTGACCTTGAGTACGGGCTCGTCGAGACCCTTCCGATCGCTGCGCTCGATGCCACAGCGGCTGCTTGCGCGCTTGGATTTGGCCGGCTTGCGCCCCCTTGCTCCGCGCACCAAGAGGCACTCTTGCCTGCTCCTGCGAGCAGCCGACCTATCCCTACCCCCTCCGGGCCACGGCATCTAAGCCCCACCAAGGCCATGCATGCCAGTGGAGATGGGGATCGGTGCAACGATGCTCTGGGGGGCTTCCAGACCTCCGGCCACAGGCCCTGCGGGTCCTCGAGAACGAAAGAACCCCCAACCTTCATAACATAATGAAGACGTGGCCTCACTGAGGTCCCCGGCTTTTCATCAGGGATAATTTATCTGGGCGGTTTGGCTCGATGCATCTGCAGAAAAGAGCCCCTATCCCTGATGTGTTTGGCTCTCCAAACTTGGGTCCCCTCTCAAAAGGTTTGGGTCCTTTTTCGTCAATCTCGGGCTCTTCTCAGAGGGCTCTTCTCAGAGGGGCCGCCGCCACCCGACGCACCGTCGCAAGAGATTGCCCGCCTCACCGCTGGCTCGTCGGCGGTGCGGTGCGGCTCGTCGGCGGTGCGGTGCGGCCCAGGGCACGATTGTCTTCCTTCCGGACCTGCAGCCCATGCATCAAGTCGGGCATGTCTTTCTACAGGAGGAGTATTCAACAATATTATCAAATAATCAGGGGGCGATTGTTCTAATGTTTCTTAACCATCCTGTGACGTTGTGTCCTCGTTTCGAAGAGGCAGCGCCCCGCGTTCCTCCTTCCTTCCTCCTCCCCCTCCCCCCTCTTCTCATCATCATCATCATCATCATCATCATCATCATCATCATCATCATCATCATCATCATCATCATCATCATCATCATCATCATCATCATCACATCATCATCATCATCATCATCATCCTTATCATCATCGTCGCCATCGTCTTCGCCATCGTCTTCGTCATCATCATCATTATCATCATCATCGTCATCGTCATCATCATTGTCATCGTCTTCGTCATCGTTATTGTCATCGCCATCAGCACCATCATCAGCATCATCATCAGCATCATCATCACCAACATCAACATCATCATCAGCTTCATCACCCTCAGCAGCAGCATCAGCATCATCGTCATCATCGTCATCATCGTCATCATCGTCATCATCGTCATCATCACCATCACCGCCATCATCATCGCCGTTATCGTCACCATCATCGACACCCATATTGGCGCACCCCTCACACGCTTCGTGGCTCCATAGGGAGCTCCAACGAAGGCCCAAGTGCCACCCTCCACACGCGTCCCCCACACCCATCTCGGCACACCCCTCCCACGTTTCGTGGCCCCGTAGGGAGCTCCACCAAAGGCCCCAGTGCCACCGTCCACATGCGTCCCCCAGTCATCTCGGCACGCCCTCACACGCTTCGCGGCCCCATGGGGAGTTCCTCCGAAGGTCCAAGTGCCACCCTCCACATGCGCCCCCCGCGCCCATCTCGGCATACCCCTCACACGTTTCGTGGTCCCATAGGGAGCTCCACCGAATGCCTCAGTGCTACTGTCCACATGCGTCCCCCACACCCATGTCTATACGCCCCTCACACTTTTCGTGGCCCCATAGGGAGCTCCAACGAAGGCCCACGTGCCACCGTCCACATGCGTCCCCCGCATCCATTTCGATACTCCCCCCTCACACGTTTCGTGGCCCCGTAGGGAGCTCCACCGAAGGCCCCAGTGCCACCGTCCACATGCGCCCCCCCCCACACCCATTTCGGCATACCCCTTCACACGCCTCGTGGCCCCATAGGGAGCTCCACCGAAGGCCCCAGTGCCACCGTCCACATGCGTCCCCCACACCCATTTCGGCATACCCCTTTACACGTCTCGTGGCCCCATAGGGAGCTCCACCGAAGGCCCCAGTGCCACCGTCCACATGCGTCCCCCACACCCAATTCGGCACACCCGTTACACGCTTCGTGGTCCAGTAGGGAGTTTTACCGACGGCCCCAGTGCCGCCGTCCACATGCGTCCCCCACACCCATGTCGGCACACCCCTCACACGTTTCGTGGCCCCATAGGGAGCTCCACCGAAGGCGCCAGTGCCACCGCCCACATGCGCCCCCCACACCCATTTTGGTACACCCCTCACAGGTTTCGTGGCCCCACAGGGAGCTCCACCGAATGCTCCAGTGCCACCGTCCATACGCGTCCCCCTCACCCATTTCGGCACACCCCTCGCACGTTCCCATAGAGAACTCCACCAAAGGCCCCAGTGCCACCGTCCACATGCGTCCCCCACACCCATTTCGGCACACTGCTCACACATTTCGTGGCCCCCTGGGGAACTCCACCAAAGGCCCCAGTGCCACCGTCCACATGCGTCCCCCGCGCCCATTTCGGCACCCCCCCCTCACACGCTTCGTGGCCCCATAGGCAGCTCCACCGAATGCTCCAGTGCCACCGTCCATATGCGTCCCCCACACCCATTTCGGCACACCCCCTCACAGGTTTCGTTGCCCCATACGGAGCGTCACCAAAGAAAGTATTGACAAGTGCGGTATTCACAACTGCATATGGTTGGGTCTTTGGCCAGGCTAATTTGTTTACTATTTTGAACATGTGTTGACTATTTTTCCATGTTTTTTCCAAAAATAGCCTGTAGGAGGACATACCCGACCTAATACAAGCATCGGGCCGAAGGGTCCCTCCGCACCGCCGGCGCGTCGGTGGTGCGTTGCGGTCCTGGGCACGAGTTCTGGAGGATAGAAGAAAATGTAGGTACGGAAAGCGTGGTGACGCAGACCGACAGCAGATCCTGTCCACTCTGAACAGGAATCGCGGTCGGTCTTGCCGCGGACGGTGCTTCTTTGAGACGCGGCCTGACGCCCAACAGCGCCAGCTGTCGGATTTGGACAACATTTGCGGTGGAGCATCGTGCCCATGATTTATGTACCCATTTCGGGCGTACCAGCGATTGTCTCATTCCCGACGTCGCCGATGCATCGTCGATGTAGCGGCGGTGCGGCGGGGTCTTCGACCCCACGCGCTCTTGCCCTAGTCTGGCGTCCTCCAGGGCGTCTATGTCGTGGGGGCATGTGGTGTGGCCGTGATCTGGCTGCCGGTCGTCGCGCGCCTGCTGGACAGCCTCGGGCTGTACAGGCTTTCGTGAAGCATGGGGGTGGTGCTTCCGGCAGAGGCCTCTTAGCTGCCGTTGCAGCAGTTGCAGCACACCGAACTCAGTTGGGTTTCAGTCGACTGGGTGTGGCTGCGTGGTTTTCGGGGTTTTGGGCACTCCCGCTCCCAAAGCCGTCCCAGCACGGCTAGGAGAAAGACTGTTGTGCTGCCTATTGGGCCAGCCTCAGTTTTCTTGTTTCTTGAATGCATGGTCGCGCTTGCAGCCTTTGCTTTTCGCACTTTAACCAGCTTGGTCCAGCGTCAGTGCTGTGTGCGAGCTTGTCGCTGGCACAGCAGGCAGCCACGCTTGTCCATGGGGTGCGATCACCCGCGAGCGATGCTCTTGTGGTCGT